AAGCGTTCATTTTTTTTTTAACGTAATGAACTTTCTCTGGGCTTAATCTTCTTTTCAAAAACACATTTTTATTTCTGTCTCTTGTGAGGAAAAATAAAACTGTTTGTAAAAGCTATTTAAAATTTGTAAAAAAATTAAATGTGCTTGCTACTAGGTCCCAGAAATGAGTCTATATGGAAAAAAATGTAGTATTTACCTTTTGTGTTAACAAAAACTGGAAATGATCTTCGAGGGCTTCTCCAGAAATGCTATACTTAGGTGTATAGGGCCGTAAACTGTTCTAGAATAAAATAAAAAAAAATAAAAAAAACTGTCTGAAATGATGAAATGGAATCTGTTAGTATCGAGGGTAAAACCATGAAGAGAGCAAAAATTAGCAAAGCAACAACTTTCTGTTTGGTGTAGATTTAGTCAAAAACTTGATCGATTTCAAGCGCTAACAGGTGCAGGTCCCTCTTCATCAGGGGCAAAGAAATCTGCAAGAATGTGTAGTAGTTTGAACAGTGAAACCAGACTTGAAAACTAGTAAAACCGGATTCGATGTAGCAAAGTGCCATCATAAGTGGAATAAACAGGTTCCACGTCAGAGTGGATTCGTCAAAGGTGTGAGCTAGTCGTTCTTTCTGCATTTCATTAGATAAAAGGCTGAAATAATTCACGAAATAAAGCACTGGTCAGCCAAAAATTTAGTTTCGTAGAGCAGACACTGAAAAGTGCTTCAAACGGGATCCCTCTTTTCCATTATAATGGGCCTGCCAACGTTCGAGCGGTAAAGTTTCTGAACAACCGATAATTCGAACCCCTGTGGATGGACTGGCTGCATGGGCGTTTTCGTGGTTTTCCCCATGTGTAATGTGTATACGAGCCAGCTTCTCTTTGAAAGTTCTCCACGAAGGCATCCCTCTCCTTAGGCAGATAGCCGTCGTGTGCTTTGCCGTAATCAAATAAACCAAACCAAACCAACCCATTATGATAAGAAAAGAATTCTGTGTTCTATGGACTGAGAAGACTAGATTGCATAACGTTCCTGTGCTTTCAACGAAATTTTGTTTTCACACTTCACTAGAAGGCTTATTCGAAGAAAAAACTTAACTAAATTAAAGATAAAACTTAGCTAAAAGATTTATTAAATCTGCGCCTTATACACACGATTAAAAAAGCTTATCCACTCCTCTTTGCGAAGTCCCCTCGAAGTCTTAGCAATGCAATTATTTAAATGTGCAGAACATACTGAAAGAAAAAATAGAAATTAAAGGAAAGAATTAATGTAAATCTAACGTACCAGTTAAGCCTTAAACGTTGAAGGACATAAATGTAAGTAAAATAGTAAAACGTTAGAAAATTTTTAGAAACTTTAGAAATCATGGCATCCACATCGATTAATTTAAGTTCGATGCTTAGTTAGTGGATTTTAGTGTTATCCATATTATCGATACGTATCCAACACAAACATGCTGTTTTTTTTTTTTTCTTTCAGTGAAAGCAAATTACAAGAAATATTAACTATTTTATTCTAAAATGAACTTTTTAGTCAATGATTGTGCACAATTTTGAGTTAATTTAAGTCCTCAGCCGATTTAATGCAAGACTGAGCCGATTTAAGGCTGCTTTAAGATATAACGCTATTTTGAACCTCTGATTATTATTAAAAAATAGTCCTATCCTAAGCAGAAGACGACGATGTGTCACACACCATACCATCGTTTTCCTGAGATGTAGTATTAAGGTTAACACTTTCTGATGACTGTATACACATTTTTTTAACTTTAAGTTGCTATAAACATGTTAAGAAAATACTCACTTCGACTATAAATATTGTTAGCTGACTGTATTCCTTTTGAGAGTATTTGTATCTAAATGCGGGAATTAGTGGAAAAATGCTTTGCAAGCAATCCAATGCAATGTGCAACTTTCAATTAAATGAAGTGTCAGAAGGAAGCGTTATATTATGAGATATACATGTTAGAAGATCTAAACATTTAAGTCCTGATTCATTATATTAACTTACATAGTGCTGCTGTCGGAACGCTCAATTTCTCATCGTATATTACGAGAAAACACCAACTTATTCAATGAAACGTACTTCTTAGAAGACCTTGATTATTCGAGAGAAAGAATATTTTAACTTTAATAATTGATCTTCGCTTGACACTTGTTTGGAGAGATGTTAGCAAATATTCCAGGTGTATCTGCAATTAGGCTGCAAATGTGGTAAACGAAATTCTTTAGCATATTCCAATTGCTCTTCCAATTGTACTAAATAATTTATTCATGGAATTTTTGAGTGTATTATTTATGACCGTGGTATATCTTTAAGACTTAGTCTGGATTTTCTTTTTTCACGCAGTCTGCTTCAGTCCTTCGGCAAGGTCATAAAAGTATGTTTTGAGCGTAAAGCTCTTAATAATGCCATCTAAACATAAAAGAATTCTGCCTTCAGTTAAATTTCAGTTCAAGTGAAGTCTCTTTATTTATGCTGCAAGCACGTATCCAGAAAAGGCTTATAGCTCGCATTATAATTTAATCTTTGAAGAAATATATTATGCATATGAACACGAGGCTTCTACCGAACACATCTTGGATTGTTTAGGCCTCTTAAGGGAGGACACATTTTCCAGTCTCTTTCTTGCTCTCTACTTCAACGGACTTTGAACGTCTTGTTCTCGGTCAACAGACTTTCGGATGGAGGGTGAGCAACAACATATGAGGCATGTTTATGTAACAAGAGGTACACAAGCGCCATTTCATGAAGAAATCAGTCCGAAGTTCGAGTTAAATTGATTCTTCAATTCGAGTTAAATTCTTCGAGTTAAATTGATTCGGGGTTTGAGTTCCAGGGAACGAATTGGCTGTATAGGCGTTTTATGGTTTCCCCGTATGAAACGTGGTGGATACGAGCCAGTTTCTCTTAAAGTCCTCTCCGGGGCATCCCTCCCTTTCCGTGCAATGCCTAGTGGCGAAATACGTAATAAAAAATTAAAAACAAAAAACAAAAAACGCTCATGTAAAATTTTGGTTTTGTGTCGACCTGTCACACGCACTATTGCCGTCATTTATGGATAATACTTGCAAGCATATCTGGTGTATTTTGATTAATATTCCAAATATATTCCTTTAGAGAACTGGAATTAGTAATGATCGCTGTGAAACACATATTGTTTCACAGCGCTATGAATGTCAATTTTGAAGCGAAGCGTAAACGTAATGTTGAAACTAGAATTGCCTTTGCCTACTAACTTGAATTGTGAAAAATGGTACGAGGACGTTTTGAATTTTCGTTCCCAAAGTAGCTCGTAACTTGAGAGTTTTCTTATTTTTGCATAGCTAGAATGATCTACTCGCTTGGAAGGAGTTATGCGATGTAGTCTGAATACAATTATGGATGAAATTTAAGTTGAAAATTATCAATTTAAAAAAAGCTGAAACAACAGGTGCTTTAGCTGCCTTTTAATTTACAAGAAGATAATAAATATTTATGGCATTACATTTCTTTTCCTTATTTTCCCAAGAAAAGTATTATCTGTATGTAATGCTTCAAAATAAATATCTTTTCAGTTAAAACAAACGGTGTTCAAGAAGAAATGGTTTGTTTGAAATAGACATTTTAAATGTAAAAAAAAAAGTAAGCAGAACAAATCGTTTATCTAAACTTATTTTGATCCCGTTCAATGCAGATAATAGAAGCCGTACAGTAGTACAGTATTATAAATGATACACTGATAGAAAGATTTATTTTAAAAACCCCAGACTCTCTCTCTCTCTCTCTTTTTTTTTTTTTTTTTTTCCAAAGCAGTTTTATTACTATCCCGCTTAGCAAGTATTAAAAGAAATACTATTCTTTCCTTGAAGATAATATTATATCTTATCAGGTGTCTGAGAGGAAAGTGAGGATAAAAAATACTATTCCCCTGACCTTGTGTAGTTGACAAACTTTTTTGGGGTCATCAGGTAGACGAACCGAATGTGGAACACAATAAATGACAGTTTTCCTTATTAAAGATGCGCCAGACGATAGCAGCGGTCAGTCATGCCAAAACGCACTCCCCCCCACTCCAATTTCTGTCTGCTTTCATAGCCCAAAATATTACGAGCGAAACTATGAAACTGATTTCGCATAAGAACGCCTTCTTCATGTATTTCGGATTTTATACTACTATTACTTATAGGAAAAAGTAAGAAGGGCTTTAATAAAATAAAAAAATTTGAAATAAACTATAAGTGCAAATTAATTGTTATAATGTGCAAGTGATAATTCTGTCCTGAGGTGCGTAATATATCGTATAAAATATATTTTATAAATTGTAAAAGTGGTACATATGTTTGTAAAAGTTACCAGTTAAGCATATTATTGGTTGTGGATTAAATGCACTATAAATCATGTCAATTGCATATATTATTAAAACATAAAATAGAGATGTAAATTATTTACACGTATATATTTTGGAGGGGCCTTCATGGCTGATTTTTGCGATTTGTTTTCATGTGTAATGCGAATACGAGTCATTTTCCTTAGGAAGTCTTCCTGGAAGGCACCCTTCCCTTAGGCAGATAGCTTACACCGCTCTTTAAAAGTTAGAGATTTGTCTAGCCGTGGGCTTAAGGAGGAATGTTTTTTGTTATGCGATTTAAATAATCAAATTTTAACCTTTAAAGTAGAAAATGGATTGAATTCGGACAAAGATTGCACAGGGCGGCAAAAAGCCTTGCGTCGACCCTGGTTGTAGCTAAAGAAGTTGATATGTAACATGACGATGAACACTTCTCTGCTAAAAATAAAACTAACGCCAAATAACGTTGTTTAGCTTTACTCAGTTTCACTCAGAGTGCCATTTTCTCCCATCAAAGTACAGAGCGGATTTTTTTCGCGTGTTGTTGCGGCATATAGTACAAATTTAGTAGTTATTAAATCTATAAGAAGATTTAATTTATAAGCTATTAATAACTGTACAAATCTTGTAGCGAACACTGTGCTAATATGGTTTCATTCTCTTTCTTTTCAGCAACAGAAGAGTACAATCGGCAAGAAAGTTTATCGTGCGTTAGTTTGCATATGGGTAAAGACGTAAGTAGATAATTTCTAATTTAAAAAATTGCATTACATTAAATATCTGTAGTGATATTAAAAACTTTAATTACGCATGAGGAACACAATGAATGAGTCCTTTTTTATTGCCTGTTCCCGTTATTCTAGTATTTCTTAGTAAAGAATGTTTGCAATCAAAATATAATCTGTTCGTAAATGAGTTTCATTTGAGTTTTCTCTAAAGATTTGTATAATCTTCTTTTACGTGAATCGCTAAAAATTCAATAGAGCATATGAAAATTTTATAATAGTGTTAGCTACTAATTTCAGAGGCCCACCAGCGGCCGAGCGGTAACGTCGCTGAACACTGGTAGTTCGGTCTGAGGTTCGAATCCCGTGAACGGGCTGGCTGCATGGGTGTTTTGTTGTTTTCCCCATGTGTAACGTGTATACGAGCCAGTTTCCCTTAGAAAGTCCTCCACGAAGGCATCCCTCCCCTTAGGCAGATAGCCCTCGAGGCTTTGCCGTAATTAAATAACCTAACCTAACCTACTATTTTCAGAAGTTCACATTGGGAATTTTTAGAATTAGGAAGAATGTGATGCATTCACACCACATAGAAAATCCTGTGGTGTACTAGATATAGAAAATATTGAATTGACCGTTCGTTTGATTTCGGAAAAGAAATTAGGCATTTGGTTAGCTTTTATTGTTTAGACAGCTCATTCCACACCTTTCAATTTAATTTCTTCTTGCGTTTCTTTAAAACATGAATTCCTTCTTTGTAATAATAACTACAGAGAATTTTTATGCTCTGGAGGCCTGGAAATCAATCTGATTTCTGGCAGTAAAGAGTCATAAATATAGAAGAAGTAACAGGGAAAGAGATGTTGTCACTGAAGTAGTATGTGATAAAAAAAATATCGGGAATTGTTCGCTTAAAATATGCACATGTAAGAAATCGTTTGCAAAGCACTTTTTTTGTAAAATTTTGGGATTTTCATCAAACTCTGGCAAAATCTTAATTTTATTTCCTTTCAATGTTTTCAAATAAATTTGTTTTTAAATAATAAAGAATTATTGCTTTGGCCATTTCCGAAAAGGGCGAATCCAATCGAGGAAAAAAGATGCATTAATTTTTTTTTTTCAATGGAACTTCTGCTACGTAAACATTTAAAATCTTGCTAAAAGCCTTGGAGCACAACGCTTTACCAAAGTAAAAGTTTCTGAGCAATGCAAAGAAAGGCATTTGAGGAAGATAGAAATGCGTCAAAAATGAATCACATTCTGGAAGATAAATACATTTCAGCTAATGCGTCAAGATCAGAGATTCGGTGTTTAACTATTCCTCTTTGACAATTAGGGTTATTACTGAACAAGTTCCTTAACGTTTGGATCCTGTCAAATAATTTTGGAAGATCATTTGACTTAAAACCTTTCGCTTCTTGAGTTGCTCCAAAAATAATGAATTTCTTCCAAAAGAATGTATTCCAAGTTGACCACCAAATGATTTCTCAAGTCAAATCCTTCATAGAACGCAATAATACAGGTGATGAAAACATGCATCTATTCTTTTGATACAGAAGCTGCGCAAAAATCAAGTGAATGACACTCGAAGATAATGCAATGCTGAAAAGATTACGTCCAAGTCGATCAAAAATCAGATTAATAATGACAGTTTTCTTCAACTGTCGTGATGTTGTGCAACTTTAATTTCGGCCAATCTGCCAGACCGTTAACAGAGAATATGATTTGAGCGATTTATAGCATTTGCGTGAATCAATTAATAAAAAACGTTCTGATATGTGGCGAGATAACTCATTGATTTAGCAACACGATACACTGATTTTCGTGGATTTCTAGTCTCATTTTAAATAAATATAACCACACAAGCTCTGTATTCATCTGATATGGCACTGTATGAATATTTTTTTTTATTTGCACTTTTAAAATTGCTTTAGAAGTAACTACCGTTATAAAGTTATTGGTACAATAAAAGAAAATTTGGGTACTTTTCCGTTTCGCCGGCGCAAATCTCGCCAAGAAGACTTTATTGGCGACAACATACAGTATACACATAAAAAATATTTAAAAAAATGTTAGTTTTAAGAATTCTTTTTTTAAAGGCATAAACATTTTAATATCGCTTAAAATTTTATAAAAAACCGATAAATAAAGACAATAAATTTGTAAAAAGACATTAATTAAGAATTTACTACGCTTTCATGGTTCAGCATCCTGATTCGCCGGTTCATATCACGTAACCCAAGCGATCTCATCTCACGTAAACTACTCTCTACAAAAATCTAATGTTCTCAGTAATTATCTACATTAATTTCAAGTTAAATCTTAATTTGGAACACAAGTATAAATGCAAGAAATATTTCAATTCGTACGAATAGCTTACTCAGAAATTATGTAAAACTGCAGTACTTTACTTCGCTAATGCATTCTCATTAGAATTGATGAATTTAACTCTTGACTTTACCTTTTCTATATTTTCGGCTTCGGGTAAGCGCTGTGATTGCATCCTAATTGACTTAATTACCGAAAATGGCCTTGGACATAAAACTGAACTATCTGATAAAAATTCTATGTAATTATATGTCAGTATTGAAAGAAAAAATCAATCTGATAAGAAAAAGCTGCGACTTGTTTTGAAAATGAGGCGTAAAAGGTTACCAGCGAGAATATTCCGTTTGGCATCGGTTGCACCATTATTAGCGACTTTATCGCTTGCGCCGGCAAAACGGAAAAGTACCAAAATTTGCTGAGAGTCCCGGAGGGGTTTTTTGCAAAGAAAATTCTGAATATGTTTTAAGTATTGGAAAAAAAACGTTGGTATAAGTGCATTGCAATAAAAGAGGGCTACATTGAAAGTATTTACCGATAAATGAAATCTCGTGCTTTATGGAATCATCCTCTGTATTTTTTTATTATAGTAGTATGAAAATGTTGAGTAAGAAATTTTTAAAAGATGATGAGAAGATACCTCAGTTATTTCTTTGAAATAGTTTTTTTGGTATGTCACGCAAAGAACGGCCATTGTTGATCTCATTTCCGTTCAGTCATTTTGTCACAGATTTGCATTTTTCTGACCATGCCTTCCGTAACCATAAAGCTAAAGTGACACCGTTAACGTTGAGGGAACTGACAGAAGCTGTCATTTCTATATATAAAAATTTTTCACTTGATAATATCATTTCATTGTTTTTAAGAATTTTTTAAAAATATTTCTCTGAATTTAAACTGGAAGTAAGTTTCGTAAACTTCTCATTGTATTTTCACAAGCTCTTGGAACGGATGGATTTTTTTCTCTTCCAAATAAAAATAGTAAGTACCACGTTGGAACCTGACAGAAGTAAGAAAAGAACAATTTAGGCCGTCAGCGCGTAACGGAAGTTAATCTTGTGAAGTAAACGAATATTAAAAAATCATTTGTGAAAATATGAATAATTAGTTCTCCAAATATCCTACTGAGCCTTTAGGTAAAACTAAGTTATAGTTTTCCTAATAATCTGCCACTACGTTATGCAACTCTTAAGTAAATCGAGTTTATAAATGAAAAGTTCTAATGAAGCACACATTAATTGCCGAAGATATGACAAAGCAGAAAAGAGCCTGTCAGAAACTTATGACTAGATGATTCTTCAATTCATTCTGAAATACGTTTTTTGTTTTTCTTATTTCTGTATTCACAGCTGGTGAAAATGTTACTGTTTGACCTTTGAAATGATTTTATTTGCATTACTCTAATTTCTATTATAAGATTTTATACTCATCTAGTTTACGGGTTTTAATAACGCGTAAACTAGATGAGAATAGGATGAGGGAAGGGGAATATTTTCGTACAGGATTGTGCTGCTTATTTCCACTATAGCCCAACTGCATGATTACACATGGACAAAACCATAAATTTCTTACGAAGTCAGTCTTTTTGCGAGAAACTAAATCCTGACAAACTATTCTGCGAGTTGTGATGATAAGTACTTAAACTGAATTTCAAAAGTATTGTTTCACTAATATATTTAATTATTTCATTGTTCGAGACGTTTCCAGCACATTCGCCGGAATTTGGATCCGAGTCGAACTACGAGTGCACAGCAGTTTTACTCACTTCTCCACTAGTGAAAACTTTTTTTTCAGATTGAGAACTGAGTGCAATGAGCATGTAAAAAGATAGTTCTGGACTAACTTGTATGACTGAAAAGAAAACAATTTTCAGGAACGGAATGAATTAACTGGGACTAAGTCAGTTTATAAAATTTATAATTCTTTTTCTTCAAATACTTACACTATGCTGCAGAGATGTGTGATTTTAAAAATCAATCCAGAATTACTGGGACATCTGGCATCCAGAATATCCAGATTACTGGGCTAGATATCCAGAATTACTGGGACATCTGGCAGAGTTCGGGAAGTCTTAGCTGGTTCTTTTCCGACCTAAAAGTTGTTGTGGAGGATCTGAGTAGATTTTGTTGTTGTAATTAATATCTAATTTTAGCTTACACCAGGTCGTTGTTCTTGATAGTCGATGAGAAGCCCTACAGTTTTATTTGCTATTATTTTTGCCCCAAGTCGTCTCTAATAAAGTTTTGTGTTGCACTTTACAGTGAGTCTCATCTTGTATCACCTAGCACCTAGCAAAGAGTAGCAGAGACTATAACTTGCCAGTCATTTAAAAGTATAACATCTTAATGCCAACCATGCTAGAGAACAAGCTAATTTTAACGCCTTAAAATCTATAAGCTGTGGGAGTACTGATACAAAATTGGCTATATATCAACTAAATGTTTTAGAGAGGTATTCACTTATAACAATAGTAGTCGGATGTAAGATGTACTTAAACTTTTATGTGGGTTCTGCTGCTGAAGAATAATGCTAAGCGCCATATTTTTATATCATAAAATGTCTTCTATTGCATTACCTTGTTATGCCCTTATTCCGTTTGTGGGATCTCAATGTCCCATTTTTGCCTTGCGCTCAGGTTAGGTTATTCAAATACGGCAAACACATGGCGGCTGTCAGCCTAATGGTAG